AGTTAGGGGGACTATGTCCTTATCTTGAACCACTGGACACATGAAATTATTTCAGAAAATATTTTTAAGTAAACAAACAATATACATTAAACATGTGCAATTTTATCGAGCTTAAAATTTTCAGAGTAATATATATAAAAGAGGAAAATTATAAAAGTTTAAAAAAAACTTAAATTTGAGTCATAAGCATATTTCTTGTCCAAGAGAGAAAAGGCAAAAATGCACCTGTACAATTGAAAATTTATGTTAATCTCCTATACTTTCCCTGCCTCTAAGATTAATTCAGCTCATCTAACTTATTAAACTACTTATATAATTATTATTCTATCATTTAAGGCAAAAGAGACCAGGAAAGGTCACCTATCCTCACGGCAGTTGGCTGAAATGGCATGGCTTCACTAAAAACAGAAACATTTTAACATCCACCAGTGTACAAAGTTACCTGTGACAGGCCTCAATGAGGTGAGTTTCTCGATTGTTGATAAGCCAAATCACAAGGCATGTTTTCTACGTGATAAAGGCTATCACATCCTAAAAAGCTATTTATGAACAATAAAGAGTATTAAACATGAACCAAGAATATCCCATCATTGTGGGTATGGGTATAAGTGTGTACGCACATTACACAGATACACCTGTGCTGGTGAAGATGGGAAGGGAAAGTTAAGTTTTAAGGACAAAGCCAAGAATATTTGAGTAAAGAGAAAATTTTAGGCGACTTCTGCGAAACACAAGCCTATACAGAAAAATTATAAGGGACTCTGGACAATTTGAACATATATCATGAATGATCATGACAATGAAACACAAAATTCATCTAAGTGTAATTCTGCTGATGGTTCTGATGACAGAAAATAACATAGGTGCAAACAAGAATCATCTCTGGCTTCTGTATCATACAACGCCAGGATCTTATCTACGCATTTGTAAGGTCATGCTGAAAACATAGACAGAAAACAGCAACACCAGATGAGTCAACCTGGCTTATAGCACAAGAATTATGGATGCCTACCATGAATAGTACTATTAGGCAATCAGAAATAAGTCATAAAAAATGGTTCTATTGGTAGAGTAAAATGTGAAAAATGAGAACAGATACTCAGACATAAATATTAACATCTTGTAGAGATTAAACTGTTTATATTTAACTGATAATTTTATCAAATAGAAATTCCATTCAATAAAAATGAAAATGTAAAATTAAAGGCAAACCTAAATCTGGAAATTTATAAATCTAAGAGGCAAGTGAAAATTTATTAAATAACATGCTAACAGCAATGATTTGGCTTTTAAAATTACATTCTTATCTGAGGACATCTTTCAAAATAAAGGCAAAGTTCATAAACAGCTGTAGACAAAAAACATATCTAAATTAAACCACGGAACAGTGGACCATAGTAGACAAAAACAGATGTATGTCTCTGCAATATATGATGCCTACATTGCTATACTGGATTACAAGTCCATTAAACATCTGTGTCCAATTCTGTAGGCTATATTCTTTTTTTGTCCTTCCTTGTTGAAAATACTTAAAAAAAAAAAAAAAGAAAAAATATATGCCATAGCTTAAAATTGGTTATTCTACATTTCTGCATCCTTACTATGCTGTATGTAAAAAAAAATTCATTCAAAGACAGAGAATTCTATGTAATATATTTTAATTTTAAAATGCTGGTTCATGAATCCAGCCATTTGCGACGACATGGATGGACATTGAGGGTATTATGCAAAGTGAAATAAGTCAGAGGGAGAAGGTCAAATACCATGTGATTTCCTTCATTAAGTAGTAGATAATAACAACAATAAACAAACACATAGAGACAGAGATTGGATTGGTGGTTACCAGAGGGGAAGGGGGGAGGGAGGAGGGCGAAAGGGATAATTCGGCACATGTGTGTGGTGATGGGTTGTAATTGGTATATGAGTGGTGAACATGATGTAATCTATGCAGAAATAGAAGTACAATGATGTACACCTGAAATTTATACAATGTTATAAACCAATGTTACTGCAATAAACAAAAAATTAAAATAAAGAAAAAAAAATGCTGGTTTCATGAAAATGCGGCTTTAAAACAGTCAGTTATTTACCACCTGCCCATTGTTTCAGCCAAATTGGGAATGTCTGAAAAATGTTGGATGTATTTTAGAAAGCATACCTGCTCTTTTTTTAATTATATAATGGGAATTTTCCAGTTTCTCAACTCAGAAATCCTAGTGGAAGTACCAAAGTTAGGACAGGACTTAACAGGATTAAGAAGGTAATATAAATGATAATGCCAATCCACAAAGATGACTCAAATTTTTTTATCACAAGCCTACTTAATGGCTTAAATGCAAATTTCATTAGAGAAATAAGCTCATCCAGAGTTGACTGTCTTAGAACAACTGCCATAAATTACAGTGTCTAATGCTCCACCTAAAAGCATTTAACACAATCTGCTAGACTTCAACTCCACTGATGCTTACAAGGAAAGGCAGACAGTAAGATAACACAAACTCTTAAGTTATACCTTTGTGAAGAGGAAGAAGGAAAGTACTCGGTTATCACTTCCTGGACACACTACTTTCTTTCTCCTGGCAAAGGGCTTCTAAAAGCACTGTGGTTCCAAACAACGCCTCCTTTCATCTCAGGTTCCAGTAACTCAGTATTGTTTATGTTACAATGCCTGCCTGATAAAGGCAGAGATCATATCTGACCAATCCTCCAAAATGAAAAGGTGCCCTTTACATCAACTAGAATCTAACTAGGAGAGCAGAAACCACAGGCTAGGAAAATTAATGTAGACAGTTGGTTACACAAAGGGTAAAAGATATGAGAAGTCATCAAGAGGAGAGTGAGACAACTGGACATAAGCAACATCAGAAAGGAACTAGCCTCCTAGGCTAGAGAGACAAAAGGAAGAGGCACCGCTGCAACAGCCCAGGGCTGGGGTGGCACAGTGGAATCATGACAGGCCTGTCCAGGGGGAACTGGAGCCACATAAGAAACAGTCTCTGCCTGCGACACCACTACAGGCAAAGTGAGAAGGGAAGAAATGTCCTGGCTGCTCCCTTAGGTCTTCCCCATTGGTGCTTCCCATTGGGTTTCTCAAACCCAGTGGACATCAGCTGTGACTAGAGTGGGAAAAGCGGCCTGCAGTTAGCCCTCCTTCAGTGCAGAAGAAAGGAGATGGGTGTAACATGGATCTGAGGGCAATGAGCCCAAGACCAGCAGCACATCTTTCAATAAAGTTCACATCTTAAATGTGACAAATTCATAAATTTACTCAATCCAGCTGATTTTTTATTTGTTATAGCAACTGGCTCTAAGATTTCAATCGCATATTAATACTTCTAGATCATCTTTCAAATTTTAAAATTAAATTCCTATGACACCAATATCCAGGAGTATAATTCTGATAGGCAGGGCAAGAACTATCCAACTAGTTATAATCAGATATGTAAAAATATTCAACTGAGGTGACAGGAAGTTCAGTCAAGTCTGTCTTGAGTTTGTCTATAAAGTCTAAAAAAAATAAAATAGTCCCTAGAGAAATGAGGATCCTGTCAACCAACATTTAGTATAAATATTTAAAACTGTTGTCAAGGAAATGCCTCAAATGTGCTTTCTCCAAAGCACCGTTTTGTAGTCTTTAAAGAGATGTTGGATTTTTAATTATAGATAACTAAATTCATACCTTCTCACTCAATTCATAAGAGAAATCAGAGTGCTGATACAAATTCCTTGGTATAAGAAAAATAATGATATTGTGATTAAGAATTGTTAAAAGCCAATCCTAGCATAAAAAAAATCAACATATCGTTTCGCATACAAAAGAGTAACTGCCAAAAACAGCGACTGTCATTGGCTCTAGGTCGGAATTTACTGCTACATTAAATGTGAACATTTCAAAAGCTCCCTGAAATTTCTGCTATTGTGCTAGAATTATTACTATGTTTATTCAAATTCTATAGGTAATTATAAAGCAAATCTCATGCCTTTCAAATTTTTTGATAAATTCATTTAATAAAAATATGTCTCAAATATAATTTCTTTAAAAAAAAGCCTTGGGGACAGCCCCGTGGCATAGGGGTTAAGTTTGGCATGTTCTGCACCAGTGGCCTGGGTTTACAGGTTAGGATCCCAGGCTCAGCCCTACACCACTCATCAGCCACACTGTGGTGGTGACCCACATATAAAAGCAGAGGAAGATTGGCACAGACATTAGCTCAGGGCTAATCTTCCTCAAGCAAAAAACAAAGATTGGTAACAGATGTTAGCTCAGGGCTAATTTTCCCCAAGCAAGAAATGAAGATTGGCAACAGATGTTAGCTCAGAGCTAATCTTCCTCAACACCACAAAAAGCTTAAAACATTCCAAATGGTCAAGAAATCTTTGTCTATCTAGAAATACTATCTACCTTATCTTCATCAAATTGACAAATCAATACGTCAAATTATCAAATACCATTAATTTTACTTTATATATATTTTAAATACATATTCTGCTTTGACTCATGATTTCAACAGCAAATTATAAAGCTATATAGCATACTTTATTTTTTTATTTTAATAATGCCAATAAATTCTATTTTATGTGATAAAGGACACTGATTACATGACCTAACATATCAGAAAGACAGTATATTCAGTTTTATAGCAATAGTGACAGCATCATGTTAGTTTTAACCAAACAGTCCTAATTAGTCCTTACTACTCCTAGGAGGCTTCTAGGCAAACATATTTAGGTCTCTACAAATTTAGAAAGTAGAAAAATAATAATTCTTTACTATCACTTTAAAAGTAAAAAAGCTAATTTATTCTCTTTCTAAAAAGAGAATAAGTAAATAAGTGCCATTTCATAATAAACTACCATAAAAAGATTGTAGCTGTTTTTAAAATAATGCCACCATTCTGCCATTTATCAAGTATAATTAAATGCAGAAACACTGCTACCTTATTCATTGTTTTCTTTTTTTTTTTTAACCAATAAAAGTACTTTTTTCTGCAAACACTTACCATCCACTCGGATATAATAACATCCACTTTTTCTACAGGAAGACGAACTTCTTCAATCTTTCCTTTAATTAGTATAATAGTATCTTCAAGTTTATTTAGTCTGAAAATTATCATAAAGAATTAAATTAGTAAGCTAAACAGATTCTGAAAGCTCGTCAAATTACATAATTTCTTGGCAACTGTTTGTATTGTTTTGTGGAATCCAAAAGTATGTTCAAAGTTGATTTATGCCCTGGGCACGATAATTACTTTTTGGTCACTCGATGAATGCCCAAGAATGTTTCTGGTTAATATGGCAATACACTGAACCAATATTTAAAACTTCAGCCTGAAAAGAAATCCGAATTTTATCAAGAATACATGTCAATAAAATTACTGCATCTTTAAAAAAACACAGGAGTGGAGACAGACCCGCCAACAAAGGTATGTTTTAAAGGGAAGTGGTATGTCATAGTGGAGAGAGAAGTAGAAGCCAGAAGCTCTTACTATGAATCCCAGATCCTCTCCCACTTGTTTGCTATGTGAGCTTCACCAAATTATATAATAATCTCACTGAGCCTGTGTGCTCATGTGTAAAAGAGAATGATGATACCTGCCCTGTCCACTTCACAGCCTATTATGAGGACCATATATTTGTGAAAGCTTTGAATACACCCTCAAGCACTATATAGTGGTAATGATATCATCACGAATAACAAAATACTGTATGTTGTAGAAAACTTGAAATTCTACTCCAATCACAAATTATACTTGACCAATAGCATTCAGTATGTATTTTACATGTTTGATCATAAGACTAGCAAATATTTTTAAACCCCCCTCTTTTGCAATTTGAAATAAACAACAGAGTTAAAGAAATGATTTCAAAAAGCTAAAAGCAAGCTGCTAAGTTTATATTTAGTTAAATAAATAAATTCTCAATCTTCAGAGAATGCACATCTGAAATACAGAGGATTTTTTCTGATAACAAAGGGATTTTTTTCCCCCAGCTTCACTGAGGTATTATTTATATACAGTTAAATGCATTCATTTTAAGAGTAAATTTTGTTGAATTTTAAAAAACAGATACTTGAGTGACCGCCATAATCATCAATATATAGAACATTTCTATCTCCTCCAAAAGATTCATTAGTGCTCCTTCCCAAAAATCTTTCCATCGACAGGCAGTTTTCTTTCACTACTTTTAGATTGTACTGGGTAGAGTTTCATATAAATGGAATCATACCGAAATGTATCCTTTTGTGTCTGGTTTCTTTTGATAAGCATACTTTTTAGATTCATGCATGTTTTTGTATCAGTAATTTGTTCCTTGTTACTGCTGAGTAGTAGTCCACTCCATGGATAAAACATAATTTTGTTTATCCACATACCTGTGGAAGAAATTCTGAATTGGTTACAGCTTTGGGCTATAATGAATAAAGCTGCTATAAACATTTGCATACAAGCAGAATTGCTTGGTCAAATGGCAGTGTATATCTAACTTTTTAAGAAACTGTCAATTTGTTTACAAAGTGCCTATACAACTTCACATTCCCACCAGCAACACACGTGCATTCCTGCTGCTTCACATCCTCGTCAACACTTAGTATTGCTGATCTTTTAAATTTTAACTGTGTAATGAGATTTCATTATGGTTATAAGTTGCATTTTCCTAATGACCAGCATTTTTTTCCATGTGCTTATCTGGCATATTCTCACACTATCTTTTGTTCAAACTTTTTGCCCATTTTAAAAATCGGTTAATTGCATTTTTACAATTGAATTTTGAGTTCTTTACATATTCTGGATAAAAACCGTGTCACATTTATGTATTGTGAATATTTTCTACCATACTGTGGCTTTTTTCTTTTTTTTTTTTTTTTTCCGGTGAGGAAGATTGGCCCTGAGCTAACATCTGTTGCCAATCTTCCTCTTTTTGCTGAGGGAGATTTTCCCCAAGTAACATCTGTGTCAGTCTTCCCCTCTTCTGTTTACGGGACACAGCCTCAGCATGGCTTGATGAGCAGTGTGTGGGTTTGCACGTAGGATCCGAACCCATGAACCCCGGGCCACTGAAGTGGAGCATGTGAACTTAACCACTACACCACAGGGCCAGCCCTCAGCTTTTTCTTTTTCTTTTTTATCCTGAGGAAGATTGGCCCTGGGCTAACATCCGTGCCCATCTTCCTCCACTTTATATGGGATGCCGCCACAGCATGGCTTGACAAGTGGTAGGTCAGTCCGTGCCCAGGATCCAAACCTGCAAACCCCGGGCCACTGAAGCGGAGTGCACGAACTTAACCGCTACGCCACCAGGCCGGCCACGCTTTTTCATTTTTTTAATGGTATGTTTTGAACAGCTAAAGTTTTTAATTTTGATACAGATCAATATCATTTTTTTCTTTTGTGGTTCATGCTTTTGGTGTCATATCTAAGACATCTTTACCTACATCAAATATTTTCACCTATTTTCTTCTACAACTGATTTTGTTTCCATTTTGATTTAATTTTTCCATATAGTATCATGTTCATTTTTTTCATAAACATCTCATTAGTGAACAAGAATAGTTTTGTTTCCTCATTTCCAGTTCTTATCCATCTCTTTTTATTGCCTTGCTGTACTGTCTGGGATCTCCTTCACAGCGTTGAATAGAAGAGGTGATGGCAAGGATCCTTCTCCCGTCCCTGATCTTAAAGTGAATGCTCTCAAAGCTTCATCAAGATGTGGGCTGTAGGTTTTGTTTTTGTAGATGCTCTATATCATGTTAGGACACTCCTTTCTAGTTCTAGTTTGCTAAAGGTTTTAATAGATAGATATATTGAATGGATATGGAATTTTATCAAACTTTTTTTTCTGCATCTATTGAGATAATCTCAATAGATTCTTCTGGTTGATTTCTCACATTTAACCAATCTTGTATTCCTGGGATAAACCTTACCTTCCAATATATTGCTCAATTAGTTTTCTAATATTTTGATTAGAATTTTTGCATATACATTCATGAATGAGTGACCTGTAATTTTCTGTTCTACTGACTTAGTAGACTTTTAGTATAAAGAGTATACTGGTTTCACATACGGATGCTTGAATCTTGACAAAGACGACACCGCAAAGTAAAGAGGAAAAAACTGTCTTCGCAATAAGTGCGACTGGGAAAACTAGGTCATTTAAACAGATTTAAAAAAAAAAGAAGAAAACCGGACCACTACTTCATAGCATATATATGCCTTCATAGCAAAACAATGCCCAGTGGATTAGAGACCTAAATGTAAAAAGAACAACTATAAAGAATTTATAAGAGAATATAGGAGAATATCTCCATAAGATTTCATACTCAACTCACAACTAGGGGCAACGATAACCAAGAACGTTGCTACATGAAAATTAAGAATTTCAGTACATCAGAAGTCACTGCAAAGACAGCAAAAAGGCAAGCAAGAATGAGAGAAGACTTTTGCATTATATAAAACCTATAAACAACTCAAATCTAAAAAATATAAAGATTGCCTACAAATAAATAAGAAAAAGATCCAACTTAATGAAAACCTGAGCAACAGATGTGAACAGATATTTCACAGAAAAGAAAATTCAAATGGTCAACAATCACGTGAAAGGGTGCTCAGCCTCATTAACAATCACAGAAATGCAAATTTAAGTTGCAATGAGATACTGCTATACAACCAATTGAAAAAATTTTCTAAAGGTAGACAATATCAACCAGAACTGTTATACACTATTGGTGGAAGTATAAATTGGTATAACCACTTTGGAAAATAGTCTGGCAATACCTAGAAAATTTGAAGATATGTATACCCTAAAGCCTGCAATCTATTTGTAAGCATGTATCCCCAAAGACGTGTATACCAGACACACGTACAAGAAGTTCAGAACAGAACTGTTCATAATAGCCCTAAACTAGAAAACATGAAAATGTCCATCAAGAACAGAAAAGACAAATTGTGATATATTCATCAATGGCATTCTATACAACAATAACCATGAATGAACTACAGCTATACACAACATGAATGAACGCTAAAAATAATGTTGAGCAAAACAAGCTAGACAAAAGAATGCACAATGTATGATTTCATTTATTTAAATATCAAATTGAGTAAACTAAATTATCTTAAATGAATGCCCATTCAAGTGGTTAAAATATAAAACAAAGCAAGGAAGTGATTACCATGCAAGTAAGGATGGTAGTTACCTCAACCAGGCAGGGGCAGCACTGGACTGAGAAAGGAGAAATGGAGATGGGCGGGCTTCGAAGTGCTGGCAATGTTCTACTTCTTGTTATTCATACATACTTATGCATATTAGAACCTATTATTTATATTTTATGCACTTTAAAATATGTATGTTATATTTCACACAAAAGTTAGAAAAGAATGCTTACATCATATTTGAGTTTTTTTAAGTAGGTACTTAATAAAATTCTTTCTGATGAAATTGCTGTAGTTGCTTACTATTTACTGAAATATTTATTAAGGTGTTAACAATTACAAACACTCCAAAGAAAATAAAAAAGCTTATAAAAGAGCAAAAAGTTCCCATTGCCTGAAACTATCTTCAGAATGCTTATGCGAAAACAAGAGGTGTTCTGTAAGAGGCCATCTGCTCAGGCTGTTTATTGTCTGCTACGCGTCATAATCCTACTTGCATCAGTAATTACTTGTTGTTCAAATATGAATATAACATAAAAGATTATGATTTCAGGGAATACACAGAAAAAAGACAAAGGCCATAACTCCCAGTAATTCTGTATTAAAACAGCTCAACACAGATATCGTTCACATAGATAACCTCTTTCATGAGACTGCTCATCTTAATCACCACCTGATTTTCCACTCACGAAAACCACCATAGATTTTACTGACTTTCCTCAAGTGGCTACTCACTAAACCTTACTTTAGCATGAGAGCATTCCAAATGAATTCTATCTCTGGAAAAACCTGCTCAAAAACTAGCATAGCTTTAATCTATAAAAACATGACATTGCAATAAAAAGAATATTTTAAGTAAGTCTCTTAATCCAATAAACACTCAAGTTATCTATTTTGCTGTGTGGAAATTTTGTTAGAACAACAAGCACTTTCCTTATCTTGAAAGTAGCAAAT